GTACCCCAGGGCTCAGTGCTAGGCCCCCTACTTTTCCTCATATTCATCAACGATCTTGCACAGAATCTTCAAAATCCGTGTTTCATGTTCACTGATGATGTAAAAATTACAGGATTAGACCTACAAAGGGACAAAGGGACACCCATATATCTCTTCAAAGCTGCAATAAATAAATTGTTCAAGGTCCAAACCATGATCCAGCTCACCAAATCCATTCTAACTGAAGAATACGCTTTTGCACTAGGGCTGCAGTTCTAAAACGGCATAAATTACAGTTGCTTTTTCATCTTTGGTGTAGACGTGCTATGACCTCCAAAAAAGAGTGATTTTGCAATATATCATAGGGTCACGCATAGGTCACTTCCCCTCACGATTCCCTTTCTTTTAAAACCCAAACTGCCGAAAGTATTCCCAACTTCAGTTAGGCACTTTCTTACTCCTCTATTTTACGCTTGCTTTAAAAAAACTTTTCCCCGACGCAATCAGCCTCGACGTCACACAGAAAAATTTAAATCGCTCTGTTAAATTTTTCTGTTCAGGCAAAGTTAAGAAAACCATTTGAGCATTTCCGATCAAATGGTTTAGGAGCCACTTGGAATAGAACGTCCTTCGTATACACTTGTTTCTTCACTTGAACTATCCTGCCTCTCCCACCTGATCTTGTTTTGTCTGGTATCTTGCCTGCTGCGCGCTATATTGGCCGCGGCCGATCTGCGTGGTCGATGAAGTCCAGTTTTATGTCTGTGCTATTTTTGAAGGAATACTTTCATGCCTCGCGGATTAGCTTGTCGGTTTCCACAGCCGAGTAGTGAATCTTCGTGATGATGGTATTGACTCCTCCAACTGTTCAGCATGCTTATGCAGTGGCCAAATAAGTCCTTTTTACGCCCCGGATAATGACACAAAAAGCGCCGGCATGTACGATTTGCAGCATACCATCGGTTGGGGGCACTACGCCGTGGTCAAATTGGCACGACATGTCTTTACCGTTGAAAAGGTCGCAGTCAAAATTATTGACAAGACCAAATTAGAAGATATTGCTCAAGACCATCTGTTCCAAGAAGTTGTTTGCATGAGGCTTGTTCAACATCCAAATGTGGTTCGCTTGTACGAGGTGATCGACACTCCGAACAAACTGTACCTAATTTTGGAGCTCGGAGATGGCGGGGATTTGTACGAAACAAGGGAGTGGACTGAGTGAACGGTTGGCTAAACGATATGTTCGTCAGATTGTCACTGCAATCGCTTACTGTCATAAACTACATGTTGTTCATCGTGACTTAAGGCCGGAGAATGTAGTCTTCTTCGAGAAGTTGGGTCTGGTCAAACTAACGGATTTCGGCTTCAGTAATCGCTTCACTCCGGGAATGCACTTGGATACAACATGTGGTTCACTGGCTTACTCGACTCCAGAGATCCTGCTTGGTGACTCGTACGATGCACCAAAAGTGGATATATGGTCATTAGTGGTTATTCTGTACATTCTGGTGTGTGGTCGATTACCGTTTCAGGAGACTAACGACAGCAAAATCCGCACGAAAATCATGGATTGTGAGTATACCATCCCCTATTATCTGTCCTCTGAGTGCTTCAGCCTGGTTCAATGATTGCTTATACGATGCCCAGCAAAACGCGCTCATTTGGACGATGTGTTACAGGCCAATTGGATTCGGATTGACGATAACGATTTACCAATCCAGCTATTCTCTGTTCCTTTGGTCTCTCGTGAGTGTTTGTCGTTTGAAGATCATATGGAAATTCTCTCCAAAATGTCCGAGGGTCAACTTGCCACAGTCGACTTTGGATCGAAATGGGTACAATCACATTGCAGTTACCTATTTCTTGCTGGCTGAAAGGAAGCTAAAACGAAACTATATCGAGGAGTATAAAGGACTATCGCAATAAGCACAACAATTAGAGCGTTTCAAGCAACAACAGCAGCAGCAACAACAGATTCAAGGTTCAACTCAATCAACAGGACAACAGAACTCTGCAGATTCGGTACCCGGGAAAGTTAATCCCTGGAGTGTCTGTTTAGTCGGTCAGAATAACCCGATTGCCGTTGCAAACAACCCGGAGGAACGCATACGACGATTCAGCATGATTTTGGAAGACGGAGAAGAAGAGGAGGGGGAAGAAGAACGTACTCAACCAGCATCGACGTTCAGTCGTTATTTGGCTGAGGAATATCGCAATATGTGCTTACCCGACAGTGAGCTTAACACTGACGGATATCCTCTAGATTCCTGTCTGGAAGAGTCGTCACATGAGGCAATGATCGAAGAAGAAGAGGAATTAGTAACAGTGGCCAGTTTAACATGTGTTTGGTCAGATTTCGCAGCCGATCAACAAAATAGCTCGGCGGTTGGTGAGCAGTTAACCCTCTAAAACTGCCACTTCTTGCACTCCGATTGCTTGGTGATGCGTCAGATTCGGCTCCGTCAGACGTCTCCATGTCTGAACCACTTGCACGTGAACGGAGACGCGTCAGGAAATTAGTGGTCGCACCACCCAAGGCGGTACTGTTCATAGGATACGCATCGGCCAGAAGTGTGATGGATGTACCCGAGCTATTTTGTTG